AAAAAAAAAAAAAAAAAAAAGCATTTAGAACTCTTCTAATCTAAAAAAGTTAAGTCTGGTCCTCTGGACGGGTTCAAAAAACAACAAAAAAAATTGTAGAAATGTTTCGACTGTCATCCGAAGACTTCTTCAGTCTGAGGAGCTGTATTTTATATTTCTGCCTGGATTATTGAGCATGCATCAGGAAAACTCTTCTAATCCTTCAAAAACTTTGTTCTCTGCTTCAGCATATTTGTTTTTGTTTTTTGTCATCTTATGCTGCTTTTAGATTTTGACTACCATTCTGCTACTTGTAGCTTTTAGATAGCCTTTTGTCACTTTTATATTTTAGTTACCATTTTGCAAATGTAGCTTTTATCTAGTTCTTTGCTACTTTTTACTTTTATCTACCGTTCTGCTAATTTTAGCTTCTAGCTAGCTTTTAGCTGCCCCTTTGCCACTTTAGGTTTTAACCAGCCCCTCACACTGTTAAGCTAGTGTTTCTTCTTTAAGCTAGCATTTAGTTACTTTTTGCTTCTACCCAATATTTCACTACTTTTATCTTTGAGCTAAAGTTTTACTTAGTTTAATCAGCATTCTGCTTCTTTTAGCTTACATTTAGTGTTCTATTTTGGTTTTATACAAGATTTTACAATGTTTTCTAGTGTGAGTGAAGTAGATAAACACAACTTTTCTTAATATTGCATGTGTAACAAAAGGTTTGTTTGCCGTAGATCTACGGTTGGGGCTATAATTGTAACGGACAGCTGGGTTTGGGCAACAATGGGAATCAGCAGACCCCGTGCAGGATCGCTGCCCTCCAAGGTGTCAACATTGTCCAGGTAGGAATCCGACCAGCATCAACTAGTTTAAACTTTTTTATTTATTTATTTTTTCTATTACCAGTCTCCTTAAATACATTCTGCCTTTCAATTACAGGTAGCATGTGGATATGCACACACATTGGCGCTTACAGATGAAGGATTTGTTTACGCCTGGGGAGCCAACTCTTATGGACAGTTGGGGACAGGCAATAAAAGTAATCAAGCTCTTCCCACCCTAATAAATACCGACAAGGAGAGGTTAGTACCTTATTTTCATCCTCATGTGTCCCCTGATCAGTGAGGGTTGTCAGGTTTAATATCACAGAATGATTATCTGCTGGTTGGCTCTAATGAAACATTATCGCCTGTAAAATCGTCCTTCGTTTTCTCTCAACTTTTACCAGCACTATTAATCGTATTTCCTTAGACAGATATTACTGTGCTTTAAAGGTTTGAGCTCTGATCTCCTTACCAGGATGGTGGAGGTGGCTGCATGTCACACCAGCCACACGTCAGCTGCAAAGACGCAGAGCGGCCAGATTCTGATGTGGGGTCAGTGTCGGGGTCAGGCCGTGTCCAGCCCCCACCTCACCCACTTCAGCAGCACCGATGACGTGTTCGCTTGCTTCGCCACGCCAGCCGTCACGTGGCACCTCCTCTCAGTGGGTAAGATTACTGCGGAAGCACAAAGATTTCAACAAGACTAACTAAATACTCATTATTCATGCAACATTCAGGATGGATGGTGGAATTTATTTTTTATCTTTTCACATTAATATCCCAAGGGGTGAAAACATTTAACAGTTAGGGAGTTTTTGTAGAATAGTTTAAATTGTTGCCATTGTCATATTTAGCCTTTGACCTCGAGATAATGATGCTGTAGGCACATATCTCTGTGTCGAAGGCGCAAATTCTGGGAAGGGGTCAAAGAAACAACAGGAAACCCTGTTTCCCCTCTGTGTCAAACTGTCGTTTGTATTAACTCTCAAACCGAGCAGTTTTTTTTCCTTGATTTTTTTCATTGTTGTTGTTTTGCATTTTGAGGTTCTCAACATCCTTCATTAAAATCTGGAAAAAAAGTGATCTTTTAGAGTACCTTTCCACTGTTATCTGACAGAAACAAAAGACATCCAGTATTTTTGGGATTTGATGCCATGACTTTTTTCTTATGTGATCCATATCAATGACCTGTAAATAAATAGGTTTGGTTTATTTGTCATATGCAACACAAGGTCAACAATGCAATGAAATACTCAGGATGCGAAAAGCCGCCTCGACTCGCCAAAAACCCAGCAACAACACATGCCAAAGCATGCAACAAAAATACAAAAACAAGACGCCAAAAGTGAAAAAGAAATGCATCTACAGCAGCACGGTCCCATTAGCAGCATGGTACTGTTAGTGTGGTTCTGTTAGCAGTGAGGTCTTGTTAGCAGGTCCCTTTAGCAGCATGATGTATGTAAATGTAATTTGTATGTATATGTAATGTAATTTATCTAATATATTTAAAATAGTGTTCTGTACAGACTGTGGGAGGTTTGTATTTACAGTAAATTCTAACAACTTTTATCATGTACTGTAGCACTAATGTGTTAAAAAAAATAGATAACATTTGCAGGAAAACACCTAAAAATACCAAACAGCAAATAATCTGTTGTTTTGTTCTTGTTTTTCTGTGCTTTTGGCAGACGGTGACGACTACATGACTGTGGCTCAGTCTTTGAAGAAAGAGTTTGACAGTCCGGAGATTTCTGATCTCAAGTTCTTGGTTGATGGGAAGTGCATTTATGTTCACAAAGCCCTGCTGAAAATCAGGTAATGAAAATTCACTACCTCAAGCTCCACTTAGATATTTAAATTGTGTAGGTGATGGATGATTTTTTTTTTTTTTACATTATAAAATGATTGATTCTTTACATTTAACATTTAGTTTTTGCTTCCAAACGTGTCTTAATTCAAGTTTTAACTACTTGTCACTTCATTTAATGAAACACAGTCATGTATCCTATTTGTATTTATTTCTTTATTCATCTGGAGCTAAAAGTGTCTCCAGGTCTTTAATTTTACTGAGCTGATGCAGCCTGCATCTCCAATCTGACTTTCATTTTGGTCACATGGTGGTGCTTCTTATTTTTATAGACTGTGCTTGATTTGGAGGAATGAAAAGAGAGGCGGATTAAAAATGTAATTTTATGAAAACACGAACGAGAGAAAAATAAATCTGATTAATTTGAGTCATTTTGTCGCCACGACTGCAGCGTTCCATCAAAAACGAGCTGTAATTGTATGTTGTTTTCTTATATTTTAACTTTTCAAGTTGGACAGAGTTTCCCGTTAGTCACGAGGAAGCGTGAAGCAGTCTATTGTTTCCCGTGCTTCTTTTTTTAACCACACTTGAACACCCAGTTTCTGCATTCCAGCCCTTTGCCCTCTTGCACCGTCAGGAGGAAGGAGCCAGGCTGTCTGCACCATCAACATGGTGCACAAATTATGCAGCACTACCAAACCTCTGCTTTGACAGGACCTCTCACAAATGACGCCATAAATATGCTTTGGAAAATGAAGAGTCAGTTGTTTATTTTACTTTGCTGTGAAAAGAGGACGATAGCAGCTGTATTTAGAGCCAGCAGAGATTAGCAGTGAGTGGGACGAGACACAAAATGTGTCCAAAGAAAAGACAAAGACACAAATATGGAAAAGACAGATGTCAGACAGATGTGAAGGTGATAAATTTCAGTCTTGAGTTGGACGATGTGATTATGTGAATAAATAGTTACTGTTTAGATCCTGCTTGGGAAATATTTTATTCTCAGCAGCAGAAGCAATGTAACTCAGTGATCATCAACTGATGGCTTCTGGGCTATATCTGGCCAGCAAAGTTATTCTGTTTGGCCCTTGAAGTTTTTTATAAATGGATACAGAAATCTGTTATAGTCCAGCTCCAAAAGAGTTGATGATGGCCGTGTCTTGGCCAATCAGGAGGCTTGCACAGACCATGTGATCAGGCATGACGGCAATGAGGACATGATTCCTGAAATGCTTTTTGCTACGATGCAAGAATTACTAAAAAAAAAAAAAAAAGCAAATATCCCAAATTTATAAAGGAAACTCAATTTTTGTTTTGTTTTTTTCTTTTATTTAAATTCATACGTCAAATCCAACAATTCAGACGTCTATAAAATGTTCTCTTTTTGATGAAACTTAGTTCAGTCTTAGCCTACACATCTACAGATGTCCCATGAGCTCCGTGTGGTGAGAGTTTAGCTCTCAAATAGATGAGTTGTGAGAAAAGCTTTAAATACTGCAACAGTAGGTGCTAGGCTAAGCTTACCTGAGTTAGCTTGAAGCTAAAGATGTTAGCATC